TGAATTTTGGCTACATTAATATGGTGAATCTAGGATTCAAAAATGGCACAGGTATAATAGAGTTTCTACACTAGTGCAGAAGGCGCGCTAGGTGGGCCACGCAGTACGTTTATCATACTTTAACCCATGTGCGGGCTTAGTAAGGAACATGGAGCTAAGCGAGGTCATCCATATTCCACTCATTATTTTGTTGGCTAAGGACATGCCAATGTTTTCTGCATAGGGTGGAATACAAAGATGATCAAAGCTAAACCTATACCTATTTAATTTTTAATTGTTTTTATGATTAAGTGTCAATTTCAAAAAAAATTGAAAGAGTTTTGAAAAAGTACTACCGGAGGATGTTTGTTTGCAGATGGTTCAAATGATGATATAAACCGTCAAAATGCATGAAACCACAAAACAATAGGTTGACAGTCAAGGTCAAAGAACACATGGCATTACAAATGTTTTATTCTCTTTAAATGTTTGCTTCATTATTAATGTCCGAATATTTATGAATCATAACATGATTAGGAATTATGTGCTTTATTCAAATTTTGATTTTTCTACAATCTAAAGAAAACTTGTTAACATAAATCAGGAATCATAAGCCTACCCAAGTGATATGTGTCCAACCTTATATTTTACTTCAATATTGAGAGTAGACATGCATGCTAACTATGTAAAATTTGCATCAGTCTTGCTAATTACTTTATATGTTTTAAAAATTATAGATATGATCATGACATTGTTTGTTATTGAGTAATAAACTAATTGACCTAAAAAACCTACCTTGTGAGGGTGTAAATCCTTTGACAAATCCCTTTGAGCCGTAAAATGATTCTTTTTGTTCTTTCAAAGTTACAACCCTTAGCCAATTTTAAAAAGAAAAAACATATTCACTACCTTATATTAAGGATAAGAGAGCACGTAAAAGCAAGGGTATTGAAAAAAATGAAAGTTAGGGAGAAAAAGAAAAAAGGAAATGTTTTAAAAAGAAAAAAACTCAAGTAGTACCAGTGTAATGAAAGAAAAGAAAAGTGCTTTGACAAAAACAAGTCAAAAATAAAAAAGTCAAGCATACAAAATAAAAAGGAATCAAAGTAAAATGTTTGTAAGAAAGTGGAATTAAAGAAAGAAAAAAATTGAAAAGAAAAAAACTTTATGCTCTCTTATCTTTAGGTTTGAATCCAAAAAAAAATCCAATGTTTTGTACGCTCAACCACGTTACAACCTAAAGGAATACCTTAGTGATTCATGAGTGATGATATATCTTGTGATATTGTTCATTTGAAATGCAAAGTATTGCTATAGTACATGCATTATCTGATTTTTTAGGAAAACACTAACCATTGGTAGATACTCAGTGAGATCATGAGCCTGATGAATGACTAGCTCTTAATTTAGACATGTTTTAAAAATATTAATTTGATCAACAAATAATTCATTTGTATGTTATGGTTTATGGGATAGTCATGATACTGATTATGAACTTGCATTTGAAAGAATATCATGCCATAAAAACAATTTTAAAACACTTGACTTGGGTCAGTCAACCCTGTCAATGAAACATGCATTCAAAAGTTTTTTAAATCATCTAATTAATTTTGTTTGAGGACAAACAAAAAGATAAGTTAGGGAGAGTTGATAAGTTTCATGTTTACATAAAGTATGTAGTCACTTATTAACTTAGGTCACAAGTAATCAATACAAAAAAGCTCAATTTATCTACGAAAAGTGAGAAAACACCTTTTTGGACTTTTCTAGTATATATTAATTAAAAATAGGTATAAAAAATGATTGGAAAACCATTATTTAGCATGCAAATACCAAGCAAGAACAAAATCATAAAAATCCAGGCTTGCTAGGCCCAGCCATAGACGCGATAAACATTGGAAGAAGGCCATATGGCACGTCCAAATATAATACTTCATGGTGAAGCAAGGGCTTGTGCACTAAGTACAATAGTGGTGTGATTAGAGAGCCAAGGCATCTAGGGCCACTTGTAATATAACTAACATTGCTTAAGGGGAAAGAAAACATACTTGATAGGCAAAAGGGTGGTGTACCTAGCGAGGGGTCTAGAATTTTCCCTACAAATAGAAGTTTTTAGTTCATTGTAAAGGGGATTCCAGGGGAGTAAGGTAGTGCAGAATTGGGGTAGGTTCATCTTGGTCTATATTGTCTTGGATTTCAGAGTTGTAGGGAGGGGGAAATCTTCTTGCCCGACCATATTCGATAAAAGATGGAGATGCTAAAAGAATGTATTGACGCCTTTACTTTTGAGCAAAATCAATGTTTGGAAGAATATATGGGAACTTTTGACTCATTTCTGGCTATGTAGGTCATTGTAGAGATCTTTGAATATCCTAACATTCTGGTCGAGAAAATGAAACTGCTTGCTTAGGATGTGACAAAGAAGAATGAGGCATTGGATTCTGCTCATACATCTTTGTCCAAGGTGGAGCCCACTCTAAAAGAAGCAAACCGGTCTTTGGATCCCGCAGGAAAAAAGATAGAATAGATGGTCGAAAAAAATGCTGAGCACGACCACTGCAAGATCCACCTTGAGAATCTTGCTTTGTCTGAGGAGTTGGCCAAGTCTTTGGAATAAAGTTACCTTATTACTCAAAACTATTTCTAAAGTTCCTTGAAGCAAGTAGAGCATTTTAATCCTACTAGATCGATCTTTTGAAGGAAAATTCCTCTTGACCAGGCCTTTGAAGATGGGAAGGTGGTTTCCTTGGTGGAGTAGTTATCTTATATTTTTTATGATTGGTGTGCTAGTACCTGATATATGTTAATTCAATGAATAGGTAACTTTGTCGTTCTTGTCTTGCAATATGCATTTCAATTTGTTACTTACCATTGTTACATGTCTACATTGTATTACTTCTAGTCTCGAGACCGTTTCTCTAGGACGTAACTTTTCCTCCAAGGTTATGCTTGAAGTTTTACTAAATGTCTCTAGGGATTGTTCCCTCCCAATGGTCAATGCCCATTTCCTGCCCCTAAGTGAAAACCTGGTTCGAGGTCGACGTATGACAGACTCACCACTGACTCTGAAATGACTAGATACCAATAAAGGGTTAACTGATATTTGTCACTTTATGGCTTCCTTTCTTTGTGTATGCATTAACATCTTGTTACTTTGATTGCTTTAGCCATTCACATGTGGATTTTGCTACAACACCTCTAAGTCTTTGTGATGAAGCTTTGATCACTTTTGGTCGTACTGTAGACTCGTCATTACCTTTCATAATTACAAGGAAAAGAGATAGTTCAATGTAAATTTATTATTTCTTTAATCGAAAAATATAATACATTATAATAGTGTGTCATTGCTTTTACAAAAGAATTTAATTAAGATAATCGAATGACATAACCATTGCTTATTGACCATGAGGACATGGTGGTTGGCTTCAACTTCACTTGAATAAGCCATTTGTACTCTTCCGACCGAGATGAGTTGTCTTACATGTAAGAGGTCAGATAACCATGTCTCACAACTGCTTGGCCATGAAGGCTACATTAATCTTTATGGCATCACATTTGCCTTCTTTTTTGTCTTATTGCAAAGCCTTATAGATCCTTTTTGCTCCAGCTAGGTTGGCGCTTATTGTTACTGGCTCGTCGTGGAAGTTGTGGTATTTTAGCTTTAGGTAGATTGGGGATGCTATTGCATCCAAAGTTGCTACGAAAGTCTTCCTAGTATGTAGTTGTAAATGTTTCTACAAGGGACTACCAGAAATTGAGAATCAGCCATCCTGATATCTCATCCTTCTACCAATCAGCTCAATGTACCCCAAAGGACGGGTTACCGTGTCATTAAAGTCCTGTAGGCTTGACCATCCGTTGGGCCACAACTTCTTCTTTTTCAACCCCATTTTCTAAAAAAGATCCGAGTATATGATGTCACAAATTTTATTGTCATCAATAAGTACCTAAGAGACGTCAAAGTTAGTTATTGTGGTCGTTATCAATGAAGAAAATATCTCATTCAGGAACCCTCTATTTTCTCTCTATTGCATAATTTGAGGATTTACCTATTTGGTCCTTCTGTCAAAGTGTTTTCTTCCTTCTTGTTGACGCCCATCGGCTCAATGATTTTCCTTTTCGCCGCCCTTCTAAAGGGATTTCTCGCCCTATGGGCACCATTAGTGATGGAAGCGATGTATTAGTGTTTCCCTTTGTGTCATGCTTCTTCTCCAATGCTATTTTTCTTGCCTTTAGATCTGGAAATAACTTCGATAGTTTTCTTGGGGGATTGCCCCCTCTGGGGTGAACGCTTCTTCTTTGGTGAGCCTTCTAGGGCTCTCTTGTTATCCTCGGTGTACTTGGCCAACCATCCCTTGTTAATCTGCTCTTCAATTACATCCTTCAGTTGGATGCAAAACTTCGTGTAATGATAGTGAATTTTATGAAAATGACATGTTTTTCTTCTTAAATATGAAAAACAGTTGATAACAAAAAGCGTGAGACAAGACTTAAATTGCGATCCGTCGTCAAATTGATCTAGGCGAGCAATAAAGCTTCTATGATGGAATCGCCCGTTTCCAGATAAAATATCTACATATTTTACGCGTTTCTATCACTTCCACTTTATATATATATATATATATATATATATATATATATATATATATATATATATATATATATATATATATATATATATATATATATATATATATATATATGTTTATGTTTGAAGTTGCTTTTTTTATTTTTTAAATTTCATAACATAAAGTTAAAATTAATTAAACTTTTAAAATTGTTAAAATCCAAAATAAAAATACCTAAATATTGATTTTTAAAATCTAAAACAGAAAAGTGCTACAAACAAGGCTTCAAAATATATATCTTATTTTCTTTTTAAAAATATTAACAATAACTTGCTATGATGGTGTGTGTGCTTGGTATAAATTGAACTTTGCAGAGAGAGAGAAAACATTATTCTCTTGTGTTTGAAGTGTAACTGAGGAAGCTAAGAATAAAACATCACAAGTAAATAGAAAATGGGTGTCATCACTCCCCACTGTTTCTGTTTCACCACCGTTGGATCACACAAGCCCTACCTTTCTCCCTCATCTCACAGTTTCCGCCATTCCCCTTCCATTTCTCTTTCTTCTTCTTCGCCATCCCCACTCAGACGAATATCATGCCGAGCCTCTTCCGCTCCCGCCGCCGAGTCTCCTCTCACCGGTAATCTCCTTCTCCCTCACCTTCAACATCAACTGATTCCGATTTTATTTCTTTCAAATTAGGGTTTAATATTTTCTTTTTTATGTTTTATTAAAGTAACAAGTGACTTTTTTTTTTGTTTTGCTTGCTGATATAGCGAAAGTTGGAAATGGGTTGAAAGATTTTATTCACATAGATGATTTTGACAAGGAAACTATTTTGAAGATATTAGATCGGGCTATTGAGGTGAAGACATTGTTGAAATCAGGGGATAGGACATTTCGGCCTTTTGAAGGGAAGACAATGTCGATGATATTTGCTAAGCCATCCATGAGAACAAGGGTTTCATTTGAGACTGGTTTTTCATTGTTAGGTGGTCATGCTATTTACTTAGGACCCAATGACATTCAAATGGGGAAGCGAGAGGAGACTCGCGATGTTGCTCGTGTTTTGTCGCGATATAACGATATCATCATGGCTCGTGTTTTTTCTCATCAGGTATGGTTGCTGCTTTCTGGATCTGCTATGCATGCATCGGATTGCGAAAGAAGTATGCATAATATTTGATATTAAACACCTGTTAGGGTTATTGGCATTGCTTGTAGATAAGAATTTGTCCATAGATCATGCATAAATTGAAAGAGAAAATAAGTGAATATGCAACTATGATATATAAAGAGATAATTGAAGAATTATGTGGTTTTTGTTATTTTTGTCATGTACTATAGGTTATGTGTGTGGTATTGGATTTTGAATGTGATGCTATTATAGAACTTCAAGAGGACTATGTAGAATATTTTGATAACTAGCAGTATCTTACAATTTTGGTGTTTAGTATCAAAATGGGAGTAGCTACTTTGAAATTGCGAGACTTGCTGTTACTTTTGGTTTATCCTCTTTTTATTTTAATTAATTGCAGGACATACTTGATCTTGCAAAATATGCAACTGTCCCTGTCGTCAATGGTTTGACAGACTACAACCATCCTGTCCAGATAATGGCTGATGCCCTTACTATGATTGAGCACATTGGTCGGTTTGAAGGAACCAAGGTAAGTTTGTGTTTGTGTTGTTTATATTGAATTGTTTGCTTCTTTCTATTTCTTGGTGGCACTAGTTTGAGAATGGTTATTTGACCATATTCGGTGTTGTGCATGTCAGGTTGTCTATGTTGGAGATGGAAATAATATTGTCCACTCATGGTTGTTGTTGGCAGCTGTAGTTCCTTTTCACTTTGTTTGTGCGTGTCCAAAAGGATTTGAACCTGATGCGAAAACAGTTGAGAAGGCAAGGAAAGCTGGAATCAGCAAGATTGAGATAAGTCATGATCCGAAAGAAGCTGTTAAAGGAGCTGATGTTGTGTATTCAGATGTCTGGGCCAGCATGGGGCAAAAGGAAGAAGCTGATTATCGCCGTCAAGTGTTTAAAGGATTTCAGGTACTTAATACTATAATGTTAGTAGTCAGCAAAGATGGTGTTTTTGGGTAATAACGAGACATATTTCTGCATTTATTTCGATTTGGTGGTGTTAAATGCTGTGCGATATGCTTAATGCAGGTGGATCAGAATCTTATGGATGCAGCTGGTTCAAAGACATTTTTCATGCACTGCTTACCCGCGGAAAGAGGGGTGGAAGTGACTGACGAAGTTGTTGAAGCTCCATATTCAATAGTCTTCCCTCAAGCTGAGAACCGAATGCACGCACAGAATGCTATAATGCTCCATGTACTTGGCAAGTAGCTGGTTAGTTGATAAATTGGTTTGAGCATTATTGGTGTAAAACTTGCAATAAATTGTTTTAGATGTTAGACTAGTGAATTGCATGTAACAGTTGGTTTTATGCATTCGGGGGCATACAAAATTGGAACATGAGTTGAATTTTGTATGATCAAGGTGAAGCTAAATCTTTTGGAAATGCTGGTATGAAACTCAGTTTTCCCATTTTAAACTGTCACATTATGTCATTTTGATTTGATTCATATGATGATATGAGTAATCTCTCAAATATAATTTCAAAAGAATAATCAATTTTCAAGAATAGAAAATTAGATAAAAGGAAATACTTTTGAGTCTTGTACATTTTAAAAATGTTTTGCATGTTGATTTCTCAGATATTACTGATATTTGAGTAACTTCAATAAATAGATGAGATTAACATTGGCTAGTATATGAAAATATAATATTAGTAAATATTTAAGGAATGTGTAGAATCATTAAATATAGAAAAAGATATTTGAAATTATGAAAAAAAAAAGAAATTATATTTACCGAAACAGTTATGTATTAAATGACAAAATTGATGTTTTTGGCAACCAAAAATTATGTTATTAAAAGCTTGTTTTTATTAATTATACATGCTCTTATTTGACCTTTTATTATCATTTCATTCCTCCTATGTTTCTTGAGCCATAATCAATTGTAAAAATGGATGACCTCCTTATCATAAATCGTTATGTTTAGGGGTGTTCATGGGTGCGGGTCGACCTGCAAATCCGCCTACCCAAACCGAACCAACCCACTAATTACCCGGACCCATTCATTTACGGGTATATCCGACCCAACCCGTATAGATTTGGTTTGGGTATTGGGTTTTAGTTTCTAAACCCATGAACCCGTTGATCCAACCCGTTGACGTGGCATAATTAATTATTATTATTATTATTATATTATTATTTATAAATTTTAAAGTTGCTATAACTTTGTAAATTGTAACGTACACAACGATCTTTTGCACTTTCCTTCCAGTTTCCAATCACACATTAAATTATTATTATTATTATAATTAAACATTATTATTAATATTAATCATGCTTGCTTGACTTATGCACTTCTAGTTTACACTTTACTGCCTTTTTATTTTTTTAATGAATCTTTATTAACTAATAATAATTAAGTATATATTAGAAACTTACTAAACTAAAGACAATACCACTTAACCTAACCTTATTTTTTTACTACGGCAAATCTCAAACGTCACCACTCCTCTTTCTCTCACGATTTTTTTTTTCATTTTACTCTCTCACATTCCAATTCCATCTTGCTTTCGAAAATCCACAGTCTATACTTTGACTCTCTCATAGTTTCGTCTCCATATTGAATAAGGTTTTATACTTTTTATAGTTCTACAATATATTTATTTCAATGCAATATATTGTTTTTACAGTATGTACTTCAATAGTTTTATATCAATGCAAAATATGATGATAGGTTCAATGTAATGTACTATTTTGTTTCATATGATGCAAAGTACTATTTTGTTTCATATGATGAAAATATATTTTGATGCAAAGTCCTGTTCTGTTTCATATTATTAATTTAAATATATTTTGTTTAATGTTGTTTTAATAATAATTTATATTAAAAATTATTTTTTTATAGAAAATGGAAGTGGAACAATCACAAATCTTTAATATAAATTATTATTAAAACAATTTATATAAAAAAATTATTATATAAAACAATCAAAAATGGAAAAATTATTGACAATTTGTGATTGTTCCACTTCCATTTTCTATAAAAAAATAATTTTTAATATAAATTATTATTAAAACAACATTAAACAAAATATATTTAAATTAATAATATGAAACAGAACAGGACTTTGAATCAAAATATATTTTCATCATATGAAACAAAATAGTACTTTGCATCATATGAAACAAAATAGTACTTTGCATCATATGAAACAAAATAGTACATTACATTGAACCTATCATCATATTTTGCATTGATATAAAACTATTGAAGTACATACTGTAAAAATAATATATTGCATTGAAATAAATATATTGTAGAACTATAAAAAGTATAAAACCTTATTCAATATGGAGACGAAACTATGAGAGAGTCAAAGTATAGACTGTGGATTTTCGAAAGCAAGATGGAATTGGAATGTGAGAGAGTAAAATGAAAAAAAAAATCGTGAGAGAAAGAGGAGTGGTAACGTTTGAGATTTGCCGTAGTAAAAAAATAGGGTTAGGTTAAGTGGTATTGTCTTTAGTTTAGTAAGTTTCTAATATATACTTAATTATTATTAGTTAATAAAGATTCATTAAAAAAATAAAAAGACAGTAAAGTGTAAACTAGAAGTGCATAAGTCAAGCAAGCATGATTAATATTAATAATAATGTTTAATAATAATAATTTAATGTGTGATTGGAAACTGGAAGGAAAGTGCAAAAGATCTTTGTGTACGTTACAATTTACAAAGTTATAGCAACTTTAAAATTTATAAATAATAATAATAATAATAATTAATTATGCCACATCAACGGGTTGGGTCAACGGGTTCATGGGTTTAGAAACTAAAACCCAATACCCGAACCAAATCTATACGGGTTGGGTCGGGTATACCCGTAAATGAATGGGTCCGGGTAATTAGTGAGTTGGTTCGGTTTGGGTAGGCGGGTTTGCGGGTCGACCCGCACCCATGAACTCCCCTATTGATATCATTCGTTGTTTTTCAAGTACTTATCACTTAATGACTTATGCACGTAAAAACGGAGAAAAACGACAAAAACAACTAAAAAGGGCTAAGTTCTAACTATCATGATGAGCACAATCAAGTAATGACGACCGTCATGACCCCTCCATACCCAGACCTTCAGTCAGCTAAGCAAAAAAGAGGGAGTGCACGCCTAAAGGTCATGAAGGGCAGAACGTCAACAAGCACACGCCTGAAGGTCATGAAGGGGTCATGAAGGCTAGAACGTCAACAAGCTGACATCCGTCATGAACCCCTTGTTCAAATGACCAAGTCAGAAGGTCATGACAAGTAGAATGTCACCTCGATGACACCTGTCATGGCGATCTTACCTAGAAAAACCGTCACATTTACATAAATAATTTCTCCAATTCCAACACTTTGATGATCTTACCTAGAAAAACCGTCACATTTACATAAATAATTTCTCCAATTCCAACACTTTCTCCTCTTCTGTTGCATGATTTACATCCGTCCTTCTAAGCTTTGTACTAACACTATATTCACTTGTAAAAGCATAAACAACTTACAATGAGGTGTTTATGTAATTTATTTTTTGCATAATTAGAGTATTTTGTTGCTGCTAATTTCAAATTATGTTGTTGTTATTTGTTTTCTACAATTTTTATTCTGACGTTGCTGCTGTATCGGGTAAAAGTCTCCCTTCAGAGCAATTTGATTTATACAATTTTAGCTTCTTTTTTTTTTCCATTATTTCAGATTAAATTTACTTGTTGAATTTTATTATGTAGGTCATGAATTACTATTATTCAAACACTATTTATTTATTTATTTTATGTTTGAGTAAATCGGTTGAGTCTAAAACATGAGGACCGTCGTATCGACGGGACTCTATAAATTGTGTGCTCAATAAATTTGTAACTTTAAGTTCCAAAAATTTTGTTTTTAAAGCTAAGGCTTGCTACAAAAGTAGAAATACATAAATACGGGTTTTGGTTCGAAAGAACGAAAACGGTATATGACTAAGGAAAATTCATATTTTTAATTTTTAAAATAGTGAATTCATTTTCTAAATTAAATAAGAAACTACTATTTTGTAAAGGGATTTTAAACTTGTATTTGTGAGTTTAAAATCTAATAGCGGACAAGCGAAAGCGGATGGTACCTCTAACTTAGTTTTTCTGCTGAAAATATTTTTCTTGTCACAATAAAGTGTTGTAATTTATAAGAATAACAAAGGTAAATGTAAAACATGTTTCGGCCTCTCGTTATTAAATTTGAATTAAACCAATAAATTTAAATTTTGCGCAAAACAAACAAATCACATAGCCTTAGATAAACACCTTAGTAACAGATAACGATAATTGGTGAATGGTTTCTGTGGAATTGATAAAATATTTTATACTAAAACCTATAAAGTCGTGCACTTGCGGCCCTATCAACAAGACCCTAAAAAAAAGAAATATTCATAATAAGGACTTTCTAGAATCAATACAGTCAGCCTAATTTGCATCACAGTAATCCAATATTTTCAAATTTGAGTTTCTATGAAGCATAAGACCTCGACCAAGAATATGTTTTAAGTATGTGATACTTTTAAACCTAAAAAACATTTGAGAAATCTCATGTCCTTGACTAGAAATTCTGGTCAAGAATACCTTAATTTTGTCAAACTCACTCATTGAATTTCCAATTAGTATGATGTCATCAACGTACACTTAAATAGTTGTGAATGTATCACTTTGATTTAGGATAAATAAAGAATAACCTAAGTCAGACTATTTATAACCATGTTGCACTAGTATGGAGGTTAATTCCTCATACCATTTCCTACTAGCATGTTTTAAGCTATATAAACTCTTCAAAAGTTTACAAACTTTGATTTGCTTAGTAAAAGGTATGTTATAAATATTTTGATTTTGGGTTTGCTGCAAAACTAAGAATGAATGGAGATGAAAATAGAGAAATAAATTTGCTCCATAAAATTCCAAAACGTATGTTTTCATACTAAGTTTAAGGAACAATTCGCCCCTACCAATCTTTGTACTTTGGATGCAAAAGGGTTTATCGGTGAATTTCCCATAGAATACTTTGGAATCCTTAAAGAGAATTGCACAATCTCTCTAAGAGTATCTTTGATAGTATTTTACAGAAAAATATTTCTTTTTCTTGCTCTCATGCATTAGAGAAGAGAAAAATAATTTAGTATAAGAAAATAATTTGAGACTTGTTTGTTATATGTTTTCATCGTGGCAAGACCTCTTATTTATAATGAGGTTGATATCTGTTTGGAAAC